CTGTTGCAATGCATGCAGAGGTTTATATCAAGAATAGTCAACAGCAATTTTCCATCTCCCCTGGGAAAAGAATAAGAGAAAATCACTAACGTGGAATGAAAACACTGATTTGCAATCATGCAGGCAGTAACTGTGTCCAAGGATCCCAAAATGCTTTTAAATACAAGTCATCCAGTTTAGTGGATGGAAAACCAGCAAGAAGTAAATCGCTTCTTCAGAGCCTCTCCAGGATCAAGTACAAATGCTGTGGGTATTACGGTCAGTCTCCTTAAACCATTCTTCCTCTGTGACCAAGGTCCTGGCTTTACTCATACAGTGCTTTAAACTTAGTCAGCAAATGGATTTGACTTTCTCCTACAAGATGCCCAACCACATCTTGGGTAGAGAGAGACAGATAAAGGTGGGTACCCTCTGGGGGTGTTGTATCTCTAACCTAGCTCTATCTTTTTAACACCAGGCTAGAATTTTCAGATGCTCGTTGTATGCTTCAGCTTAAATGTCTCCAGTCATCTCAGACTCAAATCATCCAAAACTGAATTGACCTTTCTGCTTCTACCCAAGCCTTTCCTCCTCTATTTCCAGTTTATGTTTTTGGCGTCATTTTACACATTCTTGTTAAGGCCAGAAACCCAACGTACACATAAGACTTCTTCAACCCTGCTTGCATCTGACATGGCTAACTACAGCAATTCTCTCTCCAAATAGCCCTTGTACATGGTGTCCTCCTTTACATTTCTACAGACACAGCCTTAATTCTGGCTTTCATCACTTATCTCAACAATCACAATCCCTTTCTAACAGATTTATCCACTTTCAGACACTTGATGATCATCACCCAGGAGCCAGGCCCCATGCAAGGTGCTAGGGATACGTCAGTGAGCAGTCTCCCTCCTGGAGAGTATGTTCTGGAGATGAACACAAATGAGAACGTAAGTAGATGAACAAATAAAATATTCAGTGCTGTATGGAATAAAAGATAATTAACTTAGGGGGACTTAAATGAGGGGGGATCTGGAAAGGCCTTTTGAGCTGAAACCTAGAAAAGAAAAGGAGCCGGCTATAAAGGGTGGGGTGGAAAAGTATTTTAAACAGAGCATACATGCAGTGCTGTTCACTTAAAATGTGACGTGCCCTCAAAGACTCACAGGAAGGAAAGAACATGGCCCCTTTAAGGAATGGAAGAGGTTAGAGGGCAATGAGGGGGGAAGTAAGCACAGCCAACTGCAGCAGGAGATGCAGCAAGAGATGCTCAAGGAGAAACAAGCTGTGCCCAGAACATGGCAGGCCTGGGAGGCCTGTCTTTTTCAGCCCGAAAGATATATCTGTGCTCAAAATCAGATCACAGACTGCCCATCTTAAATTGTCATTCCCTGTTACTGATGGGATAATGTCCACATTCTATGTGATGAGACTCAGCCCTTTCTGCACAGGATGCTGGCTTGCCATTCTAGCCCTGTGCCCTGAAACAACACTCACACATAATCTATACACCTGAGCTGTACCTCCTTTACACATGCCTTCTTTCCTCTGGAATAGCTTCTCTGTGTGATGACCCTCATTTTACCCTCTAAGATTCATCTGACGTTTTATGGGAGGAGACAGGATATTGCTTTGTTGTTTCATAGATGACTCTATTGTAATCTTGGGCTGCTGTTTACATCTCTCCCACCATCCTGTGAACTCTTGAGAGTGCTAGAGTCTGAATCTTACGTATTGTGGTCATCATGGTGCCTGATACAGAGCTGGCCTTCAAAGCATGTTTACTAAGAGAGGGAGGGAGGGACAGAGGGAGGAAAGGAGAGAAGTTTTGTCCAAATGCACTAATGGAATATATGACATTCAGAGTCCATCTAGTCTAAGGTTTAGTTTATTTTTAAAATAAAGATAGATTTAAAAAAGTTTATTGAGTAACTTTTTATGTATGATACATTAGCCCAATTAGTTGCACACAATGCTTAATTATCAGAGAAATTCTTAGCAAAGAAATGCAACATGGCATAATGGAATAGACACTGGTTCTCTATTTGCAGATTTAAGACTTTGAGGTATAGCCCCCAAATTTCACTTCTTGAATATACACTACAGGCAGTATCTAGTGGGCAGTGGAGAAGTGCCCACTCTACAAATGAGGAAAATAATGTTCCTTTTTAAGAGTTGAACCAGTAAAAACTGTTATCCATCCGTGGAAGAAAACTGTGGGCTGAAATACCCCAAACAATTTTCTAGGTGACCAACCTGTAATCGCAGCAAAAGGCAAAACAGAATTAACAATATATAATGCCAAGCAGAGACAAGTGATAGGGAGCTAATGATGAACATATATGATAAATATTTTCATCGTGACAAAGGAAACACACTGGCTATACAATGTATACATCAGCTCCTTGTGAGTTTCAAAAGTAAGTTAGCGAGCTTGACTTTGTGCAGTGATAAAGACGGACATGTGCCCAGAAGGCTGAAGAACAGCCTCTGAACCATGGTCACTTCACCACGGTTGTCGTGCTGTGCGACCTTGCCTGGCTGCCAGCTGGCCTGCCCCAATCAGGTCTCACTGCAGCCACACCCCCCACATGAAAACAAACGTTTTAGGCCAACGTCAGCACAGGGAGTCCTTTCATCAGGATGACAACACAAGGCCAAGTGCATTCCATTCACAACCAGACATGGACTCAGAATGAAATGTAACTGACATAGCCTGGCTCCTAAGTGACCTTCGGATGCCAGTGTCAGTCAAATGATTCTGAAGAAAAATTAAGCTCAGGTTATATTGCCATATTCATCTGGAATGCATTACTAAATGAAGACATGAAATGGAGCTTAGGAGCCAACTGTGTGGTGGATTACAGAGGTTCCTGAAGCAGGAGAAAACTAAAATGGCGCCCACAGGTCCTAGAAGTCTGTAATGCTGCAGTTGGCATTTCCAATGCTAAAACGTAAGTTCACTTTTGCTACACATAAGCATGTTCTTGTCCAGAGTAGAATATTGGAGACCTCCCTTACCCAACTCACAGTGAACATTCAAGCCAACGAGGCTGGAAATCCATGGGAAAGTTTATGGTCCTGAGTTGGCAGGAACAACTCTTACCCATAGGGCAACCTGATATACTAGAGCAGGACATACCTAAAAAGAACTGAGTAAAGCCTAAGGTGCTGTTGTCAGTGTGAAAACTCATATCCATAGTGCTATACATCATGGTGATGATGAAACTATGCATACTTGGTTTTTATCAGGCTTATGAAGAGTGCTATTTCCTAGGACAAATCTCTGCCTCTGAACCTGAAGAACCACTTTTTAATTGCAATGATTGCATAAAAAATGTTAGTATCCTTGACGTATGACTATAAGCTTCCCTGCTGCTATTTTGTTGTTGTTTTAAAATTTTTCCTTTGTGTAGCATCATCATTTCCTGGTTTGAATTTACCCCAAATTCAATTCTACTAGAAGACCTAACACCTAAAGTTACTAAAGAATTCCTTTCTAATTTCAATAGTGGACCTTTTTAACCATGATCTGCACCTACTTCAAATTAATCACTGCAACATTTTTGGAGGTCTAGTATTCATACTTAAATATTTAGTTCTACTATTAAGCTTAATTATTAAAAATAGACCATTTATTTGAATACTCTGTGACTGTCACCTAATTCAGGATGTTTTCAGTTTTGTGTGGAGTCTTTATTTTTTGCAATAAAGCAAATTTTAAGCCCTTAACAAAGCTCTTTTGAGAGGAAAAGTAGTGTGTGAAAATATTGAAAGTGTCCTTCCATTTACAACCTATGGGAGTCTTCTGATGCAAGCAAAATAAAGCAACTTGGAGGCAACACAGACTGAAACATGAGGGACAGTGTGCTTTGAGAGGGTTTCCACTGTGGTAAGTTCTACTGGAAGTATCTACAACAGATAGTGTTACTACTCAGAAAATATTCAGCAATATGTTGAAGATTTACATTTAACTGATTACTGAGAAAGGGGAGTATTGTTTTCATGCAAGACACAGATGTCAAAAGATAAGATGGTTTGGGTCTTTTTTTTAACAGACTAAGAAAACCATATACACATAAAACTTCCCTCTTCAAATGTCTCATTTCAAACTGAGCCAAAGACAGCAAAATTGAAATAGTGCCATTTGAATAAAAGAAGGGATTAAGAAACAGTGATACAACAAGTGAATAAAGAACAGCGCTTCTCCATAATAGTATCCCAACTAATAAGGAAATGATGGAATTTGTATATTATTATTTTGAAAACATCTAACAAAATAATTAATCTAGGTAAAGATCATTAATGCTAACATCATAAAGAAGTAACCAGATATTATGTAGTTCTTGACAGAATATACAATAGTATCTATGAAGTATTTTCCTCCCATTCAGATTAAGTCTCTAGATCAAACTAACAGTTTGCAGGAACCATAGGCAACAGAAAAACTTAACAAATAAAAAATGGCAATACTATCAGCAAAATCTTGTAGGAAGCTCCACAGGACAAGTGACATGGTTTCTTCAAAAAATTAATTACAAAGGAAAAGATGGATGGTAGAAACCTCTAGATTAAAAGAAACCTAAGAGACACATCAAAGGCAATGCATAAAATTTGTTTGGATCCTCAATCAAACTAACTGTAAACAAAAGGATAAATCAGTGAGTATACAAACAATCAGGGAGATTAGAACTGCATAGTTGATGATATTGAGAAATAACTGTAAATGTTTTTAGTGTATGATAATGGCACTTGAGTTATGCTTGAAAAAATGTCTTTTATCTTTTAGCCATGAACTTACATTTTTAACAGATGAATTATGTCTGAGTTTTGCTTCAGAATAATTTAGTTGGTGTAGAAAGGGTGCTTCATATAAAATAAGAGGGAGCTGATTGTTTTGTATCTGGGTAGTGGGCACATAAGATTCACTACGGCATACTAAATTTTTATATCTTTGAAATCTTTCACAATAAAATGCTGAAAAAGTAAAAGTTGGGGAAAAACTGATGGAGGAAACTTACCCTGCTGGATATCCTTCATTTCTAAATGCAAACTAGATATCAAGATTCCCACAGTTTGAGATCGTTTTCCATCCAGTAACTTGATGATCTGGAATTTAAACAAAAAATCAACACAAGCTGAAATGACCATGCAATTTTTCAGAAGCATATCAAAAACACTGAGTTTTTGAGATACTCCGACTGTTGAACTAAACTGATGCTCTATCATTCTACTTTAATAGCCCTTTACTTTAAAAGTAACTTACCCACAACTATAAATATTTTAGAAAATAAAAAAAAAAAACACCACCCCAAATTCCACCAGGCTAATACAAGCACTAAAATCTTTTTATAATATTTTACCCTATCACTGAAACACTTCTTAACTATGTTTTAATTGCAATATGTGGCAATTGCAAATCTGACTTTTTAACTTATCATAGCCATATTTTTCATGCTTTTCCTTTTTAAGTCACTTCATAGCCTCCATTCTTGGCAGTGTAATCTGCTGAGTAATTTAGGGGACAGATCATTGTGATCCTGATTCAGCAGTTTATCAGTGATATGACCTTGGAAAAGTAACTGTACTGATAGGTATTCAACTTCTTTGTCATGAAGTAGGGATGACTGGATTAGCTTGTATGTTTATTCTAAAAATAAATGACAATATATGTAAAGCACCTATTATAGTTCTTGACAGATTATTTAAGTAAGTTTTGGAGAGTTAGGTTGCTTCATATTTGTGCTATTGTTAATATAAGTAATATAATACTTTGTATAGAAAGCTTTAATTTTAAATTATTTAGAATTGTTCTTTTTAAATAATATACAAGTGTACCAAAACTTTTACAACTTTTTAGATACTCCAAATACCTCACTGACAATTATTTCAATCTTTATGTTGTGTTCCTCTAAACCTAGTAAGCCAAATGAGTTCCTAATGACATAACACACAGTGGTCCTCAAGGGAAGAAGTTACCTTTTCTCTCATGAGGCACGGCTACAAAAATCCATGAGACATGCACTCAAAACATTACCAAATTTTGTGTTTTTAACTTCACTTTCCTGAGTAAAATACAAGCTAAACTAAACAGCTATGCTTCTTCTCCCACCAAAGTACTTATCAATTTACCAGAATATAGTGAAGACAAGATCAAATAGTAACTAACACCTACATATATATTGGTACCAGACTAGCTGAGTTGTTTCCTGGTTGAAGAATAAGAGATACTATGAGTTTGTTCAACCAAGATTGTCTAATCATGCAAACTATCTAATTACATTGACCAATCCTGAATTACTTACTGCCAGCCCTTTGTCTTTCCTTTCTCTGCTCAGAATGGCTACTTTTATGTAACTATCAGAACTAAAATATGGTAAATACCAAGACTTCATCAAGATAAAAGGAAAATCTGATTTTTCAGTCTAACATGCAGTTTAATAATTTCAACATTAGCCTTCGAGAAAGATCCATGGGGGTACTTTAAAAAAAATAAAGAAGGGACTTGGTATTTTCAACTTATTTTTATGGAAGCAAAAGCAGAGGAGGAAGAGATTATGTATATCAAACATTCTGTTTAAAAATGGAACTGCTGGCTTTTTCTTAGAGAACACATTTAAAGTGAAATAATTTTTATTTTATTTTTTTATCTTCACCCAAGGACATTTTTTCATAGCTTTTTTTTCAGAGATAAGAGTAAGGAAGAGAGAGAAACATCAGTGCAAGAGAGAAGCATCAATTGGTTGTTTCCCATATGCACCTGGACTGGGGACCAAACTCACAACCCAAGTATGTGCCCTAACCAGGAATCGGACCAGGGAACTTTCAGGTATGAGATCATGCCCAACCAACTAAGCCACATTGGCCAGGGCTAAAGTGAAATAATTTTTAAAAGTCCAATACAAAATTAAGAAAACCCAATAAGTTTTAAGTAAGTATTCAGTCATGGATTCACTCATTTACCAAATATCTGCTGTGGCACTGCTCTGGAGTCTGGGGATGGAGACATGACAGGCTGATGAAGTCTGTACCCTCATGAAGTATGTTGAGCTTAGTGATTTTTAAAAATTGCTGAAAAGAACCAAAAGGGCAAATAAAACCATCACCTGAATTCACTGCAAAGCAAATTAAAAAAAAACAAAGGTTCTGGAAATTGACTAGATCTATTCTTGAATGACCAGGATAGTGACTGCTACAAGCTTGGCCATGACATACACATTGATGTCAAGGAAATAGGCACAGGAAACAAATTTATGATGACATTACAACTGGGTAGCAAAGATTCCTTCAAACAAACATTCTCCAAGCTATCTAGTTAGATTTCTGAAAACCATGGGTAATGCATTCTACCTAGAAGGAAGACAAATGTTCGTTTTTCTAACAGCTAATTAAAAGCAATAGGAAGGCAACCATAAGAGAACTGAAAGAGAGAGAGATTAAGACTGAGATTGTCTGTCATTAGGAAAACCAAGCAAATCCATCCCCACCTCATTGTTCAGTCAGGCTGAACTGTGGAGAGGATGTCACCACACTCAGGCTTCCTTGAGATCTTGTCTAATGACTTGACACAGCAGGTGTTTAGAACAAAATGGTTTGTTACCTTTAGCTGGACTAAAAACCTGAAATGTGAGGCTGTATCCTAAAAGGGGGGTTAGCAGTGATAAGTCAAAGCATTTGCATTCTCTTCCCTATTTGTGTCAAATTCTCTGTCTACTTCTGACTAGATCTCTAAAAACATACTTCTAAGTTTCCATGCAGTCTTTCTTCAATTGTGAAACGCTACCAAGTTTCTCAAACCCAGCTAAAATGTTAGGAACACAATGGACACTGAATGGATCTGTGCCCTAAACCTTCTTAGTATCTTTTCCCCACGTGGGTTGAAAACACATGAAATTTACCCTATTACAAATTTTTAAATGTACGGTACATTATGCAAAACACTCTGCAACACATTTCTGGAATTTTTTCATCCTGCACAAAAGAAACTCTAGGTCCATTGCCTCCTCCCAGATCATGGAAGCTTTCTGCTTCTTTGAGTTTGACTACTTTAGACACCTCATATACATGGAATTAGGCAGTATTTGTCCTTCTGTGACTGGCTCACTTCACTTAGCGTAATGTCCACGAAATTAATCCATGTTGTAGCATGAGACAGAATTTCTTTCTTAAGGCTGAATAATATTCCATGTGTATGTGTGTGGGGGGCCATGGGGATATATATATATATACACACACACGTATATATATATATATGTGTGTGTGTGTGTGTATATATATATAGTTGTGTATATATATAGTTGTGTGTGTGTGTGTGTGTGTGTGTGTGTATATATATATAGTTGTGTATATATATCTCATTGTCTTTATTCATTCATCTGTCCATGGACGCTTAGGTTATTTCTACTTGGTTATTGTGAATAATGTCTCAATGAACACAGAAATGCAAGTAATCTCTTTGAGATCCTGTTCTCAATTCTTTTGGATAAATATACAGAAGCGGGGGTTGCTAGATCATGTGATAGTCCTATTTTTAATTTTTTGAGGAAACTTCATACTGTTTTTCATAGTGGTTGCACCATTTTACATTCCTACCAACAATGCACAAGAGTTCCAGTTTCTCCAAATCTTCATCACTTGTTTCTCTACACCACTCCCCTGCCCTTTTCACACATGCTGCGAGCCACCTAACATGTGTAAGGTGATAGCTCACTGTGGTTTTGATTTGCTCTCTCCTGATAACTAGTGATGTTGAGCATCTTTTCATGTACATGTTGGCCATTTGTATGACCTCTTTGAAGAAAAATTTATTCAAGTCCTTTGTACATTTTTAAATCAGGGTTTTGTTTGTTTTTATTGTGTTAAGAGTTCAGTACATATTTTGAGATATTACCACCTTATGAGACATATGGTTTGCAATATTTCCTCCCATTCCATAGGCTACCTTTTAACTCTGTTGATTATTACCTTTGCTGTGTAGGAGATTTTAAGTTTGACTAAAAGAGTGACTACCACTTGTCTATCTTTGCTTTGTTGTTTCATGTCCAGGAAATAATTGCCCAGACTAATGTTATAAAGCTTTCCCCCTATGTTTTCTTCTAGAAATTTTATAGTTTTAGATGCTATGTTTAAGTCTATAATCAATTTTGAGTTGATTTTTGTTTATACTGTAAGATAAGGATCCAATTTCATTCTTTTGCAAGTGGACGTACAGTTTTTCCAACATCATTTGTTGAGGAGACCATTCTTTCCTGAGACACTTGTAGTCTTGGCTCCTTTGTTGCAAATCATTTGACCATGTATGTGTGGATTTATATCTGGACTCTCTGTTCTGGTCTGTTCTGTTCTGTACCATTGGTCTATAAGTCTGTATTTATACCAGTACCATGATACTTTGAATACTGTAGCTTGTAATGTTTTGAAGTTAGAAAGTGGAGGACAATATCAAACAAATTAAAAGAAAAAAATGAGAAGGAAAGAGAGGGCTAAAACAACAAAGAGTAGATTATATACATATATATTGTACTTAAACATGTGTGTGTGCTCACATGTGTGCAGTGTTTCATCTTCATAAAAATGGCAAGCAATACATTTTTTCTGCATCTTTCCCCCCCATTCTGCATCTTTTCTTTTCATAAATATATAACTGATATCTTCCATGTCAGTACAGGCAGAGCCTCTTCTAAGTATGATATATAATTTAAGTATTTCTCAATTGATAGACATTTAGAAATTTTCCATATTTTGTCAATTATTAACAAAGTTGCAATGAACAACCACGGAGATACATCCTTAGTCATTTGAGCTTGTATTTTGATAGAACAGATTTATAGAAGTTGTTCAAACAGTATGTCCATTTAAAATCTTAATAAATATTGCCAAATTATTTATAATAAGTAGTATCAATTTACACTCCTACCAAGAATTTGAGAGTGACCGTTTTCCTGTTCCCTCACCCATGGTGGGTATTATACATTTTTAAAATTTTGGCCCACATGATAGGTAAAATTTTTCACTATTCTGCATTTTTAATTATTTAATAGTAAAGTTAAACATTTGGTTATTGGTCACATTCTCTTGTGAATTGTATGCTTTTTGCTGTTTTCCAATTA